TCAGCAGGACGAGGCAGTAATCAGCTTTTCCATACAGCTGGCAATTCAAATAAAAAGGATTGCTGCTCTGAAGAGAAAAAAAAATAATAAAAGAGAAAAGAGAGAGAGAGAAAAAAAGGTAGAATTATGAATTTGTGTATTTGCCAGGACTTCCTCAGTACAAAAAGCAAAGCAGAAACACAACCCAAATTTATGCTTAGAATGGCAAGGACAAACTGTTACTTGCTAAGGTTTTGTCATCTTAAAAATCAGGTATTTTCATAGCTTTCTATCAAACTCAACTGTGATACTTCAGGTGTAAAATATTCATATGTTTAGGGCACGAAATGAATTGTTTTCCCTGATGGTGACCAGGTGTGACATGTGACACCACTTCCTTAGAGCAGCACACATGTTTATTGCTGTAAAGTGAGATTTTTTTTCAGCTCACAATGAGACAGCATCTTGTGACTTGACTAAAGTAATCGAGTTTAAATGACAGGCAGGAGAGAATAAAAATACCTGCAAAGCAGAAATTTGGGGGAGGAAGCTTTCTAGTAGTTATGACTACTTATGGTAGTAGTTAAGGCTAAGTTTAATAATATAACACAGCAATGGGAATGCTGAAAAGCCTGGATTTAAATGCAGATAGCTTTATGCACACATTTCTCTTCCCTGCACTTGACAGGATAAACATGTAAACGACACCAAAAGGTTTTACAAATTTAAGTTGCATTTAAAATAACATTGAATTTAGGAGGAAACTCATCACATCTACAGCTGTTCTGTGCATCTTTCCTCACATTCTGATTTACCAGCTTCCTGATTCTCTATCTAAAAGGAATATTCTGCCATCCTGCCAAAACTGGCCATGCATCATTCTTGCCTGGGCAATATTTGCATGCAAAGCCAAGGGCCAAGGGCAAAGCCAAGCACCTGCCCTGGCTGGAACTGATGGTAAAACTGCCATCAGCTTCACTGGAATTAGTTTTAACTCAGTGTGCTGTTACTTTCATTAGTACTGTTTGGTATTTGGCATTTTTTCCATTCTGTGCCTATAAAAGGTTGATGACCAGGATTTTTTTTCCCCAGCCTGAAGTTTCTCCCTAACAAGAAGAAATACTTTCTGCAAGAAAGAGAAATCCCCCTTTGAATTTTTAGCTGCTGTCTCACAACCTACACAGGGACACAGACTGCTGGATAAAGGGGTGTTATTTTGACATGCAAGGTATTCATTGAATTAATTAAACTCTTTTTACCTATGATATCGTTGTCATAAAGAGACCCCCTAAAAAATGTGGACGGGCAGATCAAGCTGTGTCTAAACTATCCGTGAGCAGAAATGAAAGATGATTCAGCATTTACAGAAGTAAAACATGCAGAGGAACGAGGCAATGGGTAGCTTAAGGCTAAGGGGACCTTCACATCAGTAAAATAAACAGCTGCACCAGTAGCCACCATTTCCACCTTCGTGGAAAGATAATGATGCCAAACACATCAGAGGAAATAAAGAAATCTGAACCGTGGCTCCCAGAGCTGGTTTTACAGCAATAAAGGAAGAGGGAGCCTAAAGGAGACTCTCAGGGGCAGGGAAATCAAGGATCATTAGAAATAAAATCTCTCCTTCCACGATGGCAAAGTGCAGATGGTGTGTGGAGAGTTTGACCAGCAAACTGCCCCAGTCACCTGCCCGAGAGCCCAAAGGGAAAGATATTGACACTACTTAAGTAACCTGGTCACTTTGCTTTTATGGGCTGTTCTCTATTACTTCTTAGTTCAATCCCATTTGTATTACTAATTCTATGCAATAATTTTCCATAACTTAAAGTAGGAATTTCTCCTTTACCTCCACATCAGCAGTGGCAAATAAAGCTATTGGTTAATAAACAAGCCAGCAATAAGTCTAATTAACACATCTATATCTTCTTGTACCTGTTTGATACAGACAAGGAAGGTGAAGGGGAGAGGAGACCGATGCTTTTCTCTTTTCCACACAATATTTCAATTTCAGCAAAAACTCCCCACACTCTACAGTAAATATGCACTAGATTTCCCATGTGATTATTTTAAAGACTTGCATATTTTATTGGTAACTAAAGCAAAAATTGAGCTACACTCCAGGAAAATTAGATAATGATATTTAACCAATAGGTTTAATGCAAACTTATTTTATATAAAAAAACAATAACTAAGAAACAAGCAAGCAAGCAAGCAAACTAACTAACTAAAATAACTATTTAAAAGAAATGAAGCCCCTGTTCTTCCAGTAAGTAGGGAACATGACTTACCATGGAATGGACGACTGGGTAACCCGAGCACACAAATATCATTGAGATCCAAAGAATGAATCCAAAGCTTAACCTGCAGAGACTTCAGAGAAAAAAAATGAGATCATTTAAAAATTCAGACAAAACCAAGCAAGCCTCCGTGCACCCACACCAGCACCCAAGTGGTATGTTTGCTGTGTGCACACAGCAATCTGCAGTGTCCTCACCTGATCATTTCTGACTCCGGAGTGTCTACGTATGCACGTGCAGCCAGACTGCCAAATTCCTCACATATCCTTTCAGTTCTTTCTTAGATGACCATTTTATACCAGAGTTCAGGAGTGAAAATGTCACCAAAACTGATTTTGCTGTGACTCATTGATCCTTGTTTGGCCTTTTCTTCTTGTTAAATAGGAAAATGGCAGGAAGACAAGCTCAGCTGCCATTTTGAAACCACCAGTCCCTTTCATGTCAAGTGTTCCATCAAAATGTCCCTCCAGTGGGTTCACTGTTAAGTCTGTATCATCATAGCAAACATGGTCAAAGGTCTAAAGCTTTCAAAAATACGTTCCAAGAATTGTTTTACCACTTCCCACATATCATATTAAGACTTTGCAAAGCCTGGCTGCAAGGGGGAAACAGGGAAAGTGCACTTGAAGTAGAAAGTTCCTCAAATAACCTTATAGACTGAGCAGCTACAATACACACAACAATACATAATAATTTATAAAGCTTTTTCTTAATATCCCTCCCCCCCCCTTTTTTGTTTTTATATGCTGAGTTTTTCATACACCAAGTTTTTAAGTGTTTTTTATTTTTAGAACTGAAGTTCTTTGGACATTGATTTCTTCTCTTGCATGCAGATACATCTCAGTCTATGAGCAGTTTATTCAACCAAATCTTCAGCAGGATGAATAAATTCTGTTCATCTCCATTAACATAGCAAATGTTGAATGTCTAAAAGCATTCTTTGTTACTGCAACAAATTTAATTTAATTGCTCAGTGTCTGAGGGGATCCTGTGGTTTGTTTCTATGGAGCACTGCAAAAGCAGCAGAGTCTCCCCAAGCCTGGGAACATCAGACCACCCAAGCGAGAGAGTGTTGAAAAACATCACATTCAACTTTTTTTTTCATCTTAGAATGAAGGTGCTGAGGGTGGGTTTTTTGACAGCCACCCAGTGTTAGGTCTGCACAGCAGTGACTCAGCAGCCTCAAACATGGTGTTCCCTTCAGTGTTTACACTGAAAAAGCAACGTGTAGGGGCTCCAGAAGGGAACTCTGTGTGAGTCTTTGGGGAGACCTGAGTTGTTACAAATGATGGCAACTTCACCCAGAACATTCAGTCTTCTGACATAGATGCATTTCATTCCAGAAGGCAGAAAGCACAGAGGCCTTCAGCTAAGGCCAGAAAAAAACACAGTGGCATGTAAGAGCTTCAGCACTTTCTCTACAAAAATTCATAGTTTGATCTCAGGCCATGGCTGGATATTTTTGCATTGTCACTGTACTTGTGCTGATCGTGTCAGTGGTTGATACAATTCAGTGACTCTTAAATTACTTTTAAAAACACATTTGTAGCTCCTGGTAAAGTACTTTAGGATTCTTCAGGACCAACAGGACTAGAGAAATATAAATTAGCCTCATTTAATCACCACAGTAAGCAATTCATTTATAAAAACCATCAAGAGAGTATTAAACTGTATGAATATTCAATATGTGTCCTCTTACTCAGAGAGAAAATCCTTTCATTTGAGTGGAACTTCCCATTCCAGCTCATCCAGGACCTCCAACTCCCCCCAGTAAGTGGATTAGCCCATGTTTCTGCTGCAGTAAGAAGCACCTGGGGTTGGATTCTGCTTCAGAGTAGTTCAGTGTCAGCTTTCATTGTACCTGCATTCAGTTTCACTCCAGTTTAATACAGAGTTCACAATATTTGTGGAAGATGAGGGACAAGAAATGCCTTGTGACTAAAGTTCATGTTTTCTGTGTTTAATGTGGTTCTTGTAGCCCAGACTCCCCATGTAACCTTTGGTACATTATTGACTTAAAGTCATGAGTTGTTGGAGTCCCTGCTGCCCTGCCCACCATGCCTGCTCAGTGCCTCCTGTGCTTAACATTCTCACATCCCATTGAAACAGTGGATTTAGCCCCATTTCTAGCTCATAAGCTCTGGACATGAGAGGTGCCCGGAGCCTTTATCTGTCAGCACCTTCAGCATGAACAGGTAGGTGGTGAGAGGACAGCCAGATGAAGACACTAAGAAGTTCCCAGGGGACTAGGGGAAGACAGCTCTATTTCTACATTTCACACAGTGGGTGGGAAAGGGAAGGAGTCCATATGGCAGCAAATCTCCCAGACACTTTGCAAAACCAATTGCACCTGATCTGAATGCTAGGAAGAAAACAAGGGTTGAGGGTCTGCAGGTATTGCATTCATGTTTGTACTATAAATCCTCACAGTAAGATCTTTCTCAGCAAAATTCTTCAGCCTGCTTCCCATTTCCAGTTCTTCCTAAAAGTCACCTATGGCAGACTGTGGTCCTTAGGACCTGACCCTGAGACAGGATCCAAGAGCAGTTTCTACAGACTGAGGTCAGGTGAGGAGAAGTTATTGAGACATCACCAACCCAGAGCTGGTCTCCAGGGCTTTGTCCACCTCTGAGACACACAGAAGTGGCATTTGAGCAGAGCAAAGATTCAAGCTCTCACTTCTGCGAGTTTATTTTTTCCAGCTATCCAGGATGCATTTGCACACACCACAACTCTGATTTGCATGCAGAAAGTGCACATGGAGATTTAGGTACAGTCAAGATATTCTCACTTCAGGTTTGGATGAATCAGGTCTAACAGAACAAGTGGCAATTGACATTTCTGTCTTCTACTCTGTCTCCAGGGCACCCAGTCTGAGGCCTTACCCCCAGCTAAGAGTCACTGGCAGGTATGGGAGGTCAGGTGAATCATTAAGTACCACAATAAGAATTCCCAGCATCCATAATATTTGCATGTCATGTAAATAAATTAGCAGCAATATCATCCACTTCCCTGCAAAGCCAACGTCACCTCTCCCCTCCAGCTTGCCTTGTGCTGCAGCTCTTGTTTGGTTTCCCCACCAAAACTACATGAAGCAGAAAACAAAGCTGGTTGATAAGACCATTGAGTCTTGATATTTAATAAAATTAATTGGCCTATAAGCTTCAGAAGATGTTTTTTCCCTCCCCCCCCCC